ATATCGGACAATGAGAAGAGGCGTCTTCAGAATGCAAATGCGCGATGTATCAAACAGTGTTGGCCTGTTTCAAAGTTCAAAGGTATCGGTGCATTGTTAGTACATTGTCACCAATTTTTTCGTCATAGAGATTCGAGTTTGTTTCAATATTCGATATCTCGTTCAAATTGTGACTATGAACATGTTTTGATCTTTGGGGGCGTATAATACGGAATTTAATATACAGCTTTGAATATGAATGAATTGCAAAACGTAGATAATATTTAATCATTTTTAATTCTAATATTAGAGTTTTTTTATTTTTAAAATAAATAAAAAAATTCATACGATAATCGAGCGTAATAAAATAAAAATACATTCATGATCAGTGTTCTGTCAAATGTCGAGTTCTTTGTGTGTGTGTGTGTGTGTGTGTGTGTGTGCGCGCGCATATTTCTAGAATTTTTTCATTTATGAGTGAAGGGAAAGAGCATATTGCCATAGTTTATTAACATTATTGATAAAGATTTTAGATTTTCTTCAAAAAATTTTTCATTAGTTTAAATTTAAATTTTATATATAATTCATTTTTTTTTTCAATATAATCAAAATATTTCTTAACAGTTTCCATTTCTACTATGTTTTAAATTCAATATCCATTCTTGGTATAGGTTGAAAACCGCTGCTTGATATTTTATTATTTTACTTCAATTTTATAATATTTCAAAATATGCAAAAGTAAAATGAAAATCAATTAATTTCCATAAAAATGATGAAATATTTCATCGAATACAAACATGCTAATATATCAAACAATAGTTATTGGTTTGTTCTGTTAGGTTGGAGTCATTATGGAACACAGAAACACAATTATTGCCGACTATATTTAGAACATCAAGGCACAACGCGAGAATATTAAATTTTAAAAACAGTATCCTTAGTATCATGTATCATGTAGAAGTTATTGCGAATAATTGATCGTACCGTTACCGGGCATCACGCGAGCGAAAATATAGCGAAAAATGTTTTGCATTCGAATATTCAAATTATACTGCGAATGCTTCGATCTCCTCCATCATTATAATTTGTACCGTATCGTAACGCAAATTCAAAGATCCCTTCCAGGCTCCGTTCATCTTTTGAATTACTCAATTATTGTCAAGAATATTCGAGTCTGTTTATTCTATTTTCTCGTTTCACAACATGATAAATTAATTATAAATTATAAATTTCAGAATTAAAACATTTAGAATGGCGCGAAATTCAATATTCTGATTGCATTTTTAAATATTTTGCCTTTTTAGTTTAAAATTATATTTAATAAATAATATTTAGATTTATAAGAACAAAAATTAAGTTTTGAAAAAGAAATGAAATTGTAATAAGTATACTTATTACAAACTCAATTGTTTAATAATTGTAATTTGTTAGTAAATTTAATTTTAATAAATTTAAAGTATATTCTTAATTATAATTAATTTTAATTTTTTATATATATAATAATTGTATAAAAATATTTTTCACTTATGATTTGAATCATTTAAATTTATATTAAATATTCATTCAGATTTGAATTCAATAATGATTCGTTGAAAGATAATTTAGACAAAATATTTAAATTCAATGAAAGTTCAAACTTATTTGCGAATCGAACTATTTTTCGATTTCAAAAAATTAGAGAGAGAGAGAGAGAGAGAGAGAGAGAGAGAGAGAGAGAGAGAGAGAGAGAGAGAGA